GCTAGTTAAGAGGCTTAGATATTAAGCTACAATAATACTACTACTACTTGTGTTCATGTTAATGCTAGGGTATAGTATAAAAATAATAGTATTATCAGTATAATGTCAGCAACAACAACATCTGGAGTAGTAGGAGTAGCAGGAGGGGGCTTCTTTATACCTCCTAGTGAATGTAATAAAGCATTACATGAATATGATTATTATCATCATTATAAGGTACCGAGTTACAATTAATATTCCTAACAATGGTATATGGTTATGTATTGTTTATGGCTAGTAATAGTATATCTAATGGTAGTGAATTATTATTATTAGTACCATCTATATCTAATATGGTTGGATCAGTAGTATTACCAGTATTAGGAGCTGTTCCTGATGCTATGATGGTATTATTCTCTGGTCTAGGTGAAGATGCACAACACCAGGTATCAGTAGGAGTAGGTGCATTAGCTGGTTCTACTATAATGTTACTTACTATACCATGGTTTCTTGCCATATTAGGTGGTAGGGTTAATGTAATAGATGGCAAACCTATGTAATGATGTTCATTATCATTACCATACCACACCTCACTCTACTCAGTGTCCTATAGGTATCGGCCACCAGATCATGAGTTGGTAATAGATAATCCTAACTGGTCTAAGCTTACTCCACATAATAATCTATCATTAAGAGGTAATAGTATTATATAGTGGTGATAATGATAAGGTAAGAATATAGGTACTGGTATATGTGTAGGATCAATAGTACGTACTAATGCTTACTTTATGATGGGAAGTACTTTATTATACTTGATAATACAGGTAATAATGATGACTAATTATAATAATAGATAACAATAATATTAGTAGATACCAGCATTATTGGGTAATAGAATATACGATGATGATGCTAGAAGAGGGTTAGAACATAGATGGAGTGGTATTGGTATGGTACTATGTTTTATATCATTTATTATATATCTATATATACAATATAAGAGTAGTACAGTAGTAGCAGAAGATATTATTAATGATGCTAGAGTTGAGGGTATTAAACATGGACATATCACATTGAGAGGAGCTATGGATGGTATTATACTTATTAACAATGATCAACAACAACAACAAGAGGAAACAACAACAACTACTACTACGTTGGATATGCCATTGATGATATTAAATCATCATATACCATTAGAACATATACGGCAGATGAGGAAGCTACTAACACCTTTCTTTCAGTATTATGATGTTAACAGAGGTAGTAGTATTGTAACAATACCTACTGCTACTACTCAACATTATCATCGATAGATCATAATATCGATTTTGATGAGTTTAAGATGCTAATGAGGGACCTACATGAGAGGATTACATTTGATGTAGTAGTAGTACTTATTGGGTGTATGATAGGGTATGTATTTGTTTAGGAATTAGCTACCCTTTTTGAAGAGGCTGATGCTGATACGTCGGGTTATATTGATTTTGATGAGTTTGTTACTATGATGATAATATATATACTAGAATCAAGAGAGCATCCAAATAGATTCCATCGTGATAGGACATCAGTATTCGATAATAGTAGGAGTAGTAGTGTTGGGGATATACGACATACTACTACTACTAATCATGCACTGCTTAATAATGGCAGCACTTATAAGGGTAGTAGTAGTAATACTGAGGTGTAGGATAATATTATATTGTGTTAGATAAGGATGTATTAAGACAACATTTATTAACTAGTAATAGAGCATCAGAATCCATAACCCATTTACCACCATTACCACATGATGAGGATGATGATGAAGATGATGATGATATACCCGAGGATTTGGCAGATCTAACCCCTGATGAACAGCAGAAGAGGATTAAGATAAGGGCTGCATATATGATGGGAATAGGTACTAATGGGATATCTATTATTGTACTACTCATAATAATAATTGAATCAGGTACATTATTAATATTAATATTCTCAGATCCAGCTGTAGATGTATTAAATGAGATTGGTATACGTAGTGGTATTAACCCATTTTATATATCATTCATACTAGCACCATTAGCAAGTAATGCAAGTGAATTAGTTGCTGCCTATAGTTATGCTCAAAAGAAGACTTCAAAACATATTACTATATCTATATCAACATTACAAGGTGCAGCATCTATGAATAATACATTCTGTTTGGGTATATTCCTAGCAGTTGTAATAATAACAATAACAATAGCATTGTCGACATCAACATATGATATCAGGTATATTTCCAAGAATTGGTATGGACATTCACAGCCGAGACTATTACTATAATCCTTATAGAAGTTATAATAGGCATTATAGCACTAAGGAG